AAGACCACATTCTGTACACACATCTTACTAATAAAGCATAATATGTGTGGAAAAACAGATGAGCCCAACATATTAACTTTAGAAATCGTTGTCTTAATCCAGAAGCGCTTTCTAGATTACAGTTTTCTAAAGAGCGCTTAGCCGAAGCGAGGGCAAGAAGAAGTGCAGTTTTGAGAGATAGCTCCTTCATATCAACGGATGCTATATGGCGGCGCCTTCCCGAAATGCAATGTGGAGTGAAAAGATCGTGACATAACTCCTCATTCTCTATAAGTCATTATAATCCATAATTATGTCCCCACTCGATGCAACAAATACCTCGTTTATAATGGGTTTTCATGTTTTTGTCTCGTCGCTTCGGCCGGACAGGGCATCACAATATGGTAAGGGGCGTAACATTTCCGTCACACGCTTGAGGTATTCGGCCAATCATAACGCACTGGATAGCTGGCCAATCAGAGCACACCTCGCTTTTCAGACCGATGAGCTTTGTAAAAATCGACGCATTTCAGAAAGGCGGGGCATAGAGGAGAAACAATAATGTACAGTATGTGGAAAATAATGTGTTTTTTGAACCTTAAACCGCATAAACACATTTCATTACACCAAATACACAAAATAATGTTCTTTTTAGCAACATCATATGACTCCTTTAATACTTTTATTTAGAAAATATGCATTATTAGATCAAAAGAGACAGTACTTTTATGTTACACAATATTTTTAATTAAACTGTTCTTTTGAACTTTCTATCAAAGAAAACGTATCATGGTTTCGACAAAAATATTAAGCAGCACAACCGTTTTCACAACACTGACAATAAGAAGTGCTTCTTGAGCTTCCTTCAACATTTCTGAAGGATCATGTGACAAAACAGATCTAATTATTTTTTTGAGCCAGCAATTACAACCAAACACAGACAAGCAGAAGCAGAGTGATACAAACAAAAAGGTCACAGTGCTGTTAGACTATCACGAGTTTTGGACTGGCCCTAGCTGTTTATAATGTAAGATTAACTATGATCTTCATCTTCAGGTTATGACATGAGCCAGTGGAGGGATACACTCTTGAGGCTGGGGCAAACAAGAGCGTATTTCTCAACTACGGCAGAGCTCCCCTACAGCAGTGAGTTAGCAGCTCTATAACGGCTCATTGCAGATGTTGTTTTCTCAAAAGAGGTTTGTGCAATATTCTGATTTCTCATTTTAACAGAGACAAGCTACAGAGTGGACCTAGTTACCTGGAACCAGTTTCTGCGCTGGGGGGTGGTCATACTCCGACTGTACAACGGAAAAAATGTAATAGAGTCCCAGATAGATACGTACGTAACTGCAAAAATGAGTTTATATAGATCCATTCATCTTTGACTTGTCATCATGTAATGGTTGTTTTGTATGTTTTTGTTAGTAAGCAGTTGAGGTTTGAGCAGTATACATCCACTCGATTACTGGCACAGTTTGATGAGGATTTATATCCAATTCAGAAAATCTCTTTACGGATTGTCACTGGGAATATGATTGGACCTCGATACAAGATAAGGCTGCTTCGTATTCGGATAACCCCACTGGAAAATCCAAACAGGTGAATAACTACAATTACTTTTCTGAATTACTAACCATCCTAAACTAATGAATTAATACACTACTGTTCAAAAGTTTAGGATCAAATGTTTTCGAAAGAAGTCTTTTACATTCAACAAGGCTGCATTTATATGATCAAAAAATAGTGTAAAATACAGTGAAATATTATAACATTTGTAATGCATGCTCAACAAAAAAAGGTTTTTAATTATGGTGCCTGCTTCTTTCCCCAACAGGCCACTAATGTGTCGATATGACATTATTTTGGAGGAGAATGCTGAGGTGTCTTTCAAACCGTTGCCTTGTGATTAATCTGAATCTCATCTGTAGAAAATCACACTGAAACGCCTATCTGAACTAACAAACAGGCATTTAATTATGGTGTCTGCTCCTTTCCCCAATAGGCCACTAATGTGTAGATATGACATTATTTTGGAGGAGAATGCTGAGGTGTCTTTCAAACCGTTGCCTTGTGATTAATCTGAATCTCATCTGTAGAAAATCACACTGAAACGCCTATCTGAACTAACAAACAGGCATTTAATTATGGTGTCTGCTCCTTTCCCCAATAGGCCACTAATGTGTAGATATGACATTATTTTGGAGGAGAATGCTGAGGTGTCTTTCAAACCGTTGCCCTGTAATTAATCTCATCTGTAGAAAATCACATTGAAACGCCTATCTGAACTATAACAGACATTTCAAAGTGTCTAAACAGTTAAAAACTTTTAGTGCCTTTTCTGTGATTACTACTGTGATTGTACTAGTATAAAATTGTTATACCAGACACATTTTCTGTTGAGGGCAGAATTAAAGTGCAGTTTTACAATATTAAATTCTGACTCCTGTTGGAACGATCTATATAATTTCTGTATAGTTATGTATGAACCAAATATTCTACTGTAAAGATGTTTTACATGTACAGCTTTTGCATTCTTTTGTAAAATAATTTGTGGACTGAAACCAGCTGAAGCTTAATTTGAGAATGTTTTGGCACAAATAGATTTTATTTTCTACTTTGAGTTTACACAGCAGGATACATCAAATATGAAATTATTTTGTCATATGTAGGTACGACAAAAAGTCTGTATTTTAGTATAAAAGCAAAACTATCCATGTGTTGCGTACTGCTATGAAATGGCAATTGAATTTCAAAATTTAATTAGCAATTAAATTTACATATTGTATAAATTGTAATTTGTGCCTTGTAAATATTGTGGAATATCAAATCAAAAACTAAACTGTAGTTACTCCACTGATAATGAAGAATAGCATTATTTCAGGATGAGAGCAGGGCAAGGTGATACTTAATCTTTATCACTTTAACTTGCCCATTGAGGTGTCCTATTTACATTTGTTTCCATCTTCAAATCAAATAATCTTTACAAGCTGTTTCCTTAAATCAAACAAATGGTAGTGGGTGAATAAAAAATGGATGAAAAAGATCCACCAAATGTGGAGAAGCAGTGGACTTTGAATCAAGGTCTTGGTAGTTCTAATATCAAAACGGACACAACAAAAACACAGTTGCGCACAAGTGACCTCAGGTCTGAATTGTTGACTTTCTTCTCACGCACTGCCACCTGCAGGTAACAAACAAAACAAAATAGAGAGAACAGAAAATAAAGAAGCAATGTACACTACATCAAATACTTATGTTTGAAATTCAGAGAAATAATGTATAAATATATATTAGTCAAAAAAATATATATAAATACATATTTATCTAAACATACATAATCATAATATAATTAAATACACACACATACACACATTTTCCTCACCACTATTTCAAGTCCTCCGTCCCCGTGGTCTGCTTTTCCGATTGAAATTCCCCCGCGGATTGAAGTTCTGTCTGTTAGGTACTGGCATTCTTTGACGGGGACCATCCTGAAGGACCAAAATGAGTCATGGTATGAACAATTATACTCTTAAAAATAGACACGTTTCACATCAACAACAACTCACCCACTGCCTTTCACGCTCATGGTCTTGTTCCGACCACCTAAAGTTCTCATCCACTTCTTCAGGATCATCTCTCACATAGGGATCACTCTCTTGACTTTGGAAAGACAATAGCAATAGACAATAGCTAATTGAACTATGGCCTAATCCTGGCTTAGTCTAAGCCCTGTATGTGAAACCAGGCCATAATTTTGTAAATCAAATATATTGGCATAGCACCTGAATGCATAGCAATAATATTAAAAGTTGGTCTGAAGACAGCTAACAGGAACACTTTTCAGTCCATACCCCTCAGGAGCCACTGGAGCAAAGTTTCCCCCAGCAATGGTGATCTTCACACCCTCCATTCGCTGTTGTCTTCTTCGCTCCAGGTCATACCTGAGGTCACTAGGGTCGGGGACAAGCTGTCGTCTCTGAAGCTAGCAAAACATTTCAAATTTGAACCAACATACATGAAATATTCTATTTGATGTTGATGGACCTAAAAAAACAGATCAACTTACTGGATCCGGCCCTATCTTGCAGAAGATCTGAGTTTCTGATGAAGGCATTCTGTGTTGCCTATAATAAAAGACCAGAATTGTCATGCTTGTATCACAAATGGTGTGGAGAAAATTTCTAATTTAGGATTGGGGTAAACAAATCTTTAATCATAAATAAAAACATTAATCCTAAATAAAAATAATAGTCATGCTTACCTTTGCAAGCTTCACTAATGAATAAAAACAAATTAACTGGCAAGTGTACCTATTCATGACTGGCCTCACGTTTCCCATCTCCTCCTCCTGTTCTTCTTCATCCTCCTTAAACTCATCTTGGAGTGAATAAAACTGTCCATTTGCAAAACGTTCATTAAGTGTGATGCCTTGGCCCCTAAAGTAATTTTCTGCAAAACAAATAAGCAAACAGTTAAACCAAAATCAACTCTTTGCTACGTAATATAAGCTCTTTCTAAGATACACAATATACTGCCAAGCTAATCCATTGGTTCCTGACCTTTAACCTGGTGCACAAGGGTGATGATCTCTTGGGCAAATGTCCCAGAATGCACTGCTGATTCTCTGTAAGTTCCAGAATGCTCCAGCATGGGAAGGAAATCAAGGCGTTGTCGACCCACATTGACTAAGTCAAGTGATAACTGCCTATCTGAAGAGTATCCTAAATGACTGAACAAGAGGTCACATGATATAGAGATATAAGGTCCCATTCCAGCTTTAAAATGTTCCTTTCAACACATTAACCAGATGACAACACTTGTGAATTAATATAAATTGGAATAACAAAGTTCAGGTACAAATGTTCAGTAGTAATGTTTAAGATTAACCATAAACACTGCAATGATTATTTTAATGCAAAACAATTGGCCCTTTACCTGTCATATAATCCCTTTTAATCTAGAAATTTACCAGCACTACTTCTATTAATATAAGACATCTCTTCCAATGAAATTAAAAGTGGTCACCTTTTCAAGAAAACAACTTAAACGATTCACTGAGTTGATTCACTGTGACCCAGTAAATAAAAAGTAGGTGCACGCTATTCAGATTGTTGTTTTAACAATTCGTAATTTCAGTTCAATTTGAGCGGTGTGCTGAAAAACAAAAGCTATACTCAACAATGTTGTGTATGAATTTTATAAGGTTATTTCATTCATAATCGGTGACTGATAGCCCAACCCCCTTTGCTACGTAATTAAAGCTGAGACAGTGAGTGCATGAAGTGTCCAACATTCCATAATTTTTTATTTTTTATTTTTTTAAAGTGCATCATCAGAGTATTTAAATTACACTTTATCTTTTTGGAATTTTCAGTGTGAACAACTCACACTATTTACACTACAAAACGTCATAGAATAATGCATAAGAACGCAATTTGGGGCAAACCTAAAATTTGGGTTGGCTCAACCTTCATTTAAATACCATATCACTAAATAAATAATTGAATGGTGCATAATAAAAATGTCAGCTCATAATAAATATGGCAAGTTCATGCCTCTCCTCTCACTGTCATTGCGTGTTTCCATTCAGAGGATCCTTCAATAAACTCATTTGTTCCAGAGTGCCAACACATGGCGACCAATAAAATCAGTCAACACATCTCAATGTGTTTTTTCTTGCAATGCAATATCTTGATTGGTGAGCTTGAGTAATCTTAGACAAGTATTAGATGCATTGAACTTCATAATAAACTCAATTATGGGAGCGATGGCATCAACTTTAGGTAACTGCTGGAAGACTTTTGAAGATCTTCGGTTGGGTTGGTGTCTTCACAGACCCCTCTTCTTGCTGAATAAAATGGCATACCCTCCAATTTCAGCAATGATTGTAGACTTTTCCTTGGCATATGGCAAATCATTTCTATGTAAATCTCATAAGCAAATCTTGCTGCTTGACTGTCTTGGGGATGAAATCAAATGTCTGTTGGCAGTTGCTCCAAACAAGTTTATCTGTAAACAGGTATTATTGTAGAATTTTCAGTTGCCACTTTGGGTCTTCCATTTTCTTCATTGCCAAATCCTTGTTAAAAATACCTCAACATAACAGATGCATATTTAGGAAACTTGGCAAAAATTTCTTGAAGAATCTTGCAAATAGCCATGTCTACCGAGTTCTCATCACTTACTTATACAACGGGATGACTTTCTAATCCAAAGTCCAAATATGGAAACAAAATGCAGGAGGTCCAGTAGATCATCTGGTAATGTATGGTTCTAGCCACGCCAAGGTCATGGATTTGTTTGGCAGGGAACACAAATTGTCGATCTTGAAGGCACTGTATACATAAATCTCTGGATAGAGGTGTCTTCCAAATGAGTAAATACAAAAAGGCTTCAAAACGTTCCTCTTGCAATGTCAATATGAATAGAATATTTTGATTATGCTTCTTTGGTTTCTTTCATTGTGAATTGATAGCTGTTGGTTCTACAAAATGGAAACATCACAATGGTGGTGTCTTCTTCAACCCAAGCATCTTTGCTCCATCCACATGTTCCAGTACTCACTCAATGCAGAATGGGTGATTGCTGAATGAGATTGCAATCATCAAATGCAGGTTAGTGATCACAAAATCTGTGTCTATGGGCATCTGCCTCAGAATTTCTTCCCATGGTAAAAACATCAACAAATGCATATTAGGATAGTACAAGCAATTAATCAGCTTTGCGGAAACCAAACACATCCGAGACGTTTCTTGAAGACAGAAAGTTGTGTGAAGGTTTTTGCTTCAGCGCCAGTTTAAATTATTAAATTGTCCTTTCAGCCTCATCTTCTTCCTCTCAAACAAGGCCATACTTCTTCCCCCACAAGGAAAACAATCTGAAGCGGGTGACAGTCTGAATGCTGTGGACATCTGGAAAACTTGCGCATACCTACTCAACTTCAATTTGATTGTATGGTTGCTGACTTACCTGCAGTCAATACAGCTTTACAAGTAGAAGAGCTCAAACCCTGTGGGGCACTGGTATTTTGGTGGAGACATCATCTTGAATAGCCAAAATGTGGACGAAAAAAGGGGGACTGATTTTCTTTTGCCTGGGCTAACTGGTGGAGAACATCATCCTTAACCAATAGTCCTTAACCAAATCAAGCTGAGATCCATGAAATTCCAGTCTAGAACTTCCGTCATCTGATGAACCATTAATATGAAGGAATTAGCAGCAGAAAGATGTGTTTTCAACAGGATTTACTGCCAACCTGGTAATTTGGTCCTGTGACTTCCATTTAAATGAAGAGTGAAGATGAAAGGCAATCCAAATCACATCTTCTCCACGGAACAAACATTCACATGTTAAGACACTCAAGAATTTATGTCAAGAAATAGCACACTGCATCTTGGATATTGCATCTTGCATCTTTTTATGCAAACTGGGATTTGTACAGTTTGGAATTTCTCCACATACCTTCTGTAACCCTTTTCTTGTGAATGATCACCAGTAGTGTCCTTCTCCTGTTGGTCCCATTTTAGGATGCATCAGCCACGTCAGGGCCTTGAAGTAGTCCATGTTCCTGATTACTGAACGATTAGTAGCTTTCACATCCAAACACCTGCTTGAACGAGACGTGCATTTGTGTGGCAACACAACAGCACAAGATGAATACTTCAGAAATATCAGATCAATCCTTGATTCATTCCATTACTCCCTGGTTTGAATAAGATGGCTTAATCACAAGAGATATGACTGAACTTCAGGGGATACATCTAAACATCCTTAAAAATCCTTTCCCTTTTAAAGCTCTTCAGAGGGCTGTCCGGGATATCCTGGGAACCTTGAATGAAGATTACTCTTGCAGTGATCATATTTTGGTATGATCTTCAATACCCATGTACACGATGATAAGACACAAAACAGCCCATTAATGGGTTTTCTGGATGCAACTCCACACTTCCCACTGAATCTTCTTGACGTTCACAATCTGTAGACTGTTGTTCTTCATGTCTTCATGGTGTGGGGACAGTGGACACAGAAAAGAGGCATGAACTTTTGACCCTAAACAAAAGTGGTACGACAATGATACTATACCTGCTTTGCCTAACGGGGCGACTCATGTCCACCTTGATCTTGAGGGTCTCCTGTTCACTGAAATCCATTCTAGGTGCAGGACCAACATTAGTGTTTGGCTTCCTGTGATACTGAGGTCTTTGGCGAACCACTCCTTGCCCCATCATCCTTCCACGATTCCTTTGCGATCTCTCTTCCTCCCAAGCGGGGGCAGGTTCTCTTTCTCTGTTCCTCAAATCAACATCCCTCACATCCCTTAAATCCATTTCCCTCCGTGCTTCTGAGTCTCTTGAATGTGACTCCATTCTAGGTTGATCCATGTGTCTTAAGCGCTCTCTTCCTTGAATTTCTCTTCCATAAGAAGAGTAGTTCTTTCTTGATTCCTCTTGGGGATTACTATTTGGTCGTCCGCCATGTCTATCTTGTAAGGTACGCGTTTGATAGGCTTGGTCTCTATCTCGATCACGATTCCTCTGGGTTTCACTTGTCCTAGGTGGGTCTCTGCTCCTCAGATTGCCACTCATTTTTGGGGGATCGCGGTTCCTTGAATCTTGTTTTGCAATTCCATGATCGTGTTCGACAATGACAGGTGCACGACGTGGGCTGAAGCCCCTGTGATGCTCAACGAACTCATCCGGCAGACCAAAATCTGTAAGTCCTTCAGAAGGAGGGTGATGCTCCCTATAATCTGACTTTGATGACCTGTATTAAGAAAGCAAGTAACATTTGTCCAAGATTAGAATGAAATTACAATAATACATAGTTACTAGCAAGGTTTTAACGAACAGTTCAACTAATTGGATCTATATATTCCAATTGATGATAATGACAGTTAACTGAAACTAATCTCAAAAAAACAAAAGAAGGGGTAAACAAATAAAATTAAATACATTACTGACTAAAATGTAAAATTAAAGAGATTAAATGTAACAGATGCAATTAGAAAAACATTTATCCATCAAAGAAAGTGACTGAATCCTTTCTTCTTTTCTTCGTTCCTCTCCATCCACGTCAGACGTATGAAGCGGGGAAAGAAATGCATTCTTGTACCTCTCTGAAAAGGAGCCCCTTTCTTGATATTGACCGCCATATTCTTCATTATGAAATCCATAATCCATCCTGTCCTGTCTTCTTCCTTCGGGATGTCTTGGATAAGACCTGTCCCTCGATTCTCTGTGGTTATGTTGTGAACTGAGCTCCTTATCAACGCCTTTATTCTTGTTCCAGCCTGGTGATGGCATCCTGTAGCGCTCTTCAACACCAAAATGTGTGTGATTAGGGGATGGTAACCTTTCCCTAGGCAGCCTCCTTGGAGAATGGGGCGGCCTTTCTTCATCACCCTGCATGTGGTATCTGGTCATAGGTGAAGCCCCTCTTTTTTGAGCATGCTCTATCGCATCAATAAAATTGGCCCAGTGGTCAACATGTTGCTCTCCTTGATAGGAATCTTTGTTCCAATGTGTGCTACTTTCTACTTTGTTGACATATTCAGGGTTTCTCCACGCATCAGACTGTACCGATGAATGTATCTGGTTATCATATAATCCTTCCGCTCTCCTCCCATGAATAGTTGGGATTCTGTTAATATTCGAGAGGTTCAAGAAGCTGTTAATAACCAGCAATGCAACAACAAAATAAAGTTTTTTGTAACACCAACTTTAGATTAAATACCTTGAATACAAGGGAGATCTCGAACGCGGACGTGACATTGTTTCCTTGAAAAACAAGAAACTGTTAGCCATGAGACCAAATTTATGCAACCGAGGTCTCCATTCTGAAAATTTACCAACGTTTTAACATAGTAGTTTTTCATCAAAATACAACAGCACAAAATGGCATATTATATATATACTCCCTTTTTAAAATCCCTCTTTTGCGTGTTAAATATAAAACTCAAGTTTATATGAATTATAAACCTGAAATAGGCACTGAATGTGGTCATAATAAGTTTAAACAAACATATCTGTAAAGTATTTTGACGTTTCCACACATTTTGACCAGTGAATCTGCATGATTTTCTATTATTTCTCTGGTCACTCATGATTGCTTTTAAGATTTAGTTTTATTATTATTTTTTTTTATTATAGATATTTATGAGGCAATTTTCCATTTTTGTCAATTTGTGAAATTAATAAATTTAAATTATTATACTTATTAGTACCTAAATCATGCTTTCAGTAGAACAAAAGCCTGGAAATCAAGTTTAAAAAAAAAATTATAATATTACCAGGTTACAGGAAAACCACCCTCCTCCCATTTTTTCCACAAAGATTTATGTAGCTATTTTTTCTTTACACTTCGCATCGTTTCATTAACACTGGAAAATTCAACACAAAAAAATAAATTTATAAAAATACCATATCAACTGGAGTAGGCGTTACTGTAGTAAAACCATCGTAAAATTTCTTAAAGTCCCCCTGTGGTGAAAATCAAGTTTTTTATGTTGTTTATTTGTCTATGTGGTGTTTTTAATATGCTTTTAGACAAACCATGTGCCAATCCATTTATCAACACCATTGCCGAGTATTTTCTCCTTAAAACTGTAGTTTCACAAAGGCAGTCACAGAAACGCGGTTTGAAACGCGGCCTTTTTTTTGCTACGTCACAAAATTCAATAACCAATCGCGTCAAGGGATTCTATCCTTAGCATATCATTAACTGTGCTGCAAAGCAGAGGGTCTAGTGAGAAGGCAGCTTATTTATTTGTATTTAGAACCGCTAACTTGAATAATAACCCGCGGCAGCAGTGTAAAAGTAGACCGGAGTCAGACGCACCTCTCCCGCATTGACATCCGCACGTCACACGCGTATGATCGCGGGCGCGATTTGGAATCACAAACTTGGCTGCATTTGAGTCTTCAAGGCATTTTGAGCACACAACATCATCAAGTAAGTAAATTTAACGAATACTACAGTATCCACTGTAGTTGTCCGCTAGTAAAAACAGTTTTATCAGTCATTATCCGTGTACGAACCAAGCGGCAACCTCCCGCTCTCTCTCGTGAAGCCAACAAGGAAGTGACTTAAACTGTAATTCATCAACTGGCCGCT